GGAGGGAGTCGCAGACTCTGAGCTCCAGATCCGGGCGAGTCTTTAGGGACCCAGACTCAAACGGGAGAAGCGGGACTGTCTGGCTTCGGTCAGAGCAAGTGCAGCTTTCTCTCCGAGGTGTGCAGCGGGTGCTGGGACTCAGAGAGGCAGAGCCCCTGGGGACAGGACTGAGAGCCGCCATAACTGCTCTCTCCGGCCCACCCTGTTGATCCTGTGCGACCCGCCCCGCCCAAGTCCTGCACAGAGGCATTGGCCGGATAGCCTCAGGCAAAGGCTAGATTAGCACCTCCCTAGAGGACAGAAGTTCTCTCACTGCTGACACAGCTGATTCTCATAGCCACTCGGCCTGGAGGTCAAACCCTCCCTGGTATTAGCTACAACAATCAAGGTTTAACTATAAGCTGCGCACAAAGACCACTAGGGGGTGCACCAAGGAAGCATAACAAAATGCGGAGACAAAGAAACAGGACAAAATTGTCAAAGGAAGATATAGAGTTCAGAACCACACTTTTAAGTCTCTCAAGAACTGTTTAGAAGCCGCCGATAAACTTAATGAGATCTACAAGAAAACTAATGAGACCCTCGATGTTATATTGGGGAACCAACTAGAAATTAAGCATACACGGACTGAAATAACGAATATTATACAGACTCCCGACAGCAGACCAGAGGAGCGCAAGAATCAAGTCAATGATTTGAAATGCGAGGAAGCAAAAAACACCCAACCGGAAAAGCAAAATGAAAAAAGAATCCAAAAATGCGAGGATAGTGTAAGGAGCCTCTGGGACAGCTTCAAGCGTACCAACATCAGAATTATAGGGATGCCAGAAGATGAGAGAGAGCAAGATATTGAAAACCTATTTGAAGAAATAATGACAGAAAACTTCCCCCACCTGGTGAAAGAAATGGACTTACAGGTCCAAGAAGCGCGGAGAACCCCAAACAAAAGGAATCCAAAGAGGACCACACCAAGACACATCATAATTAAAATGCCAAGAGCAAAAGATAAAGAGAGAATCTTAAAAACAGCAAGAGAAAGAAACTCAGTTACCTACAAGGGAATACCCATACGACTGTCAGCTGATTTCTCAACAGAAACTTTGCAGGCCAGAAGGGAGTGGCAAGAAATATTCAAAGTGATGAATACCAAGAACCTACAACCAAGATTACTTTATCCAGCAAAGCTATCATTCAGAATTGAAGGTCAGATAAAGAGCTTCACAGACAAGGAAAAGCTAAAGGAGTTCATCACCACCAAACCAGTATTATATGAAATGCTGAAAGGTATCCTTTAAGAAGAGGAAGAGGAAGAAAAAGGTAAAGATACAAATTATGAACAACAAATATGCATCTATCAACAAGTGAATCTAAGAATCAAGTGAATAAATAATCTGATGAACACAATGAACTGGTGATTATAATAGAATCAGGGACATAGAAAGGGAATGGACTGACTATTCTTGGGGGGGAAAGGGGTGTGGGAGATGCGGGAAGAGACTGGACAAAAATCGTGCACCTATGGATGAGGACAGTGGGTGGGGAGTGAGGGCGGAGGGTGGGGCGGGAACTGGGAGGAGGGGAGTTTTTTTGGGGAAAAAAGAGGAACAAATGTAATAATCTGAACAATAAAGATTTAATTAAAAAAAATAAATAAAAAATAAAATGTCAAAAAAAACCCCACAGGACATCAACTTTTCTTAGTTGTATCTCATTATCACCCTTTCAGATCAATAAATCAATGATCTTAAGAGGAAGGGAGAGAGAACCATTGATTTGTTGTTCCACTTACTTATGCATTCATTCGTTGACTCTTGTCTGTGCCCTCACCCGGGATCAAACCCACAACCTTGGCCTATAGGGGTGACGTTCTTTTTAATGGGTATTCTTTTTAATGGGTATTCTTTTTAATGGCTGCCCGTGATGCCATGAGATGGATGGATTGGCATTTACACCCTGGCCAGTGGGTGTTTACAATGTTATGGTCAGAAGAACTCTATGAGTGAATGTGTGTCATTCCAATGTTAGGACGGGAGAAACTGAGGCACAGAGAGGGTCAGCAGTGGGTGGATTGGTCCCACCAGTTCCTGGCAGATGTGTGGCAGATGTTCTTGCTTCATGCTGCCACAAGGAGGCACTGTTAAAACTTGCTCCCGTGCAGTCTCTGTAGACAAACAGCCCCCTTCCTTGCTAACACTAGGATTCTGGACGCCCCTCTTTGGTTTCAAAAGCCCAATTAAACCTTTTCCTGCCACTGACCATCATGATCTATCCTAATTTTGAATAACAGGGAGATGGGTTGGAAGAGTTCAATTTCTTCTTTCCCAGAAATCCCTGGGCTCCTTATGCAAATCCATTTTCTCTCCAATGGACAAGTTTGCCCACGGGGGTCTGAGAGGATCCCTCTAGACCAGTGGTTCTCAACCTTCCTAATGCCGCGACCCTTTAATACAGTTCCTCATGTTGTGGTGACCCCCAATTTCATTGTTACAAATTGAACATAATTAAAGCATAGTGATTAATCACAAAACAATATGTAATTATACATGTGTTTTCCGATGGTCTTGGGCGAGCCCTGTGAAAGGGCCGTTCGACTCCCAAAGGGGTCGCGACCCACAGGTTGAGAACCGCTGGTCTAGGCTCAGTTTCACCTGCCTCTCCTCCCAAACACAGCAGCAGGGACCTTCTTATCTTCTCTTTACATATCCAAGGGAGACCAGAGACTGATTCCTCACAGGACAAAGACCGCCGACTTCAAGGTACTTTCAGACATGAAATTCTTACAAAAGTCATAGAAATCCAAACACAGCTTTATATATCCACGAACACACGTGGCTTAAGTGAACATATAACATCTTGCTTATTCAGACACGTGATAAGCTTTACCCATTTAAGTGTATACAGGACCCAAATTCAGGATTTTGCTCACTAGTTTCTGATTCTGCAGCCTGTGCCAAATTGGTTTTACAGCTCTGCGGAGCCCCAGCTTTCAAACAGAGGTGACAGTTTTGAGATTCGTGTGTAATCTTCCAGGCTCAAAAAGAAAACAAATAAACAGCAAGCAGGTCTCCACACATGAATATATACTCTTGGATGCTGGGGGGCAATTTTTTATTTTTATTTTTGCATAAATGGTACCTATAGGACATGGTGTAAACTGCTTTTTTGTAAAGTCCATTCTTCATCTGGGGCAGAGAGTGGAGTGGGTGGACGGGGGTGTGGGTGACAATGGGCCTTTTCTGAGGGTAATGTCACAGGGAGTGCTGCTTCATTCTGGGGAGCACAGGAAGATTTGAGTGGACTGGCTCTCCAGATCCTGGCCTACCTGTGGGGGGCAGTGTGGTTCTTTTTATTTTTTTAATGAGGAGGGATACAATTGTTCTTTAGTGGCACTCTTAAAAAAAGAGAGACAAGTGGATGCCCTGTGGAGAGAAGAGAACACTCAGTCATTTATGTCTTAATTCTGGATGCTTCTAATTTGCCTGCTTTCTAATAGGTTATCTTGGTATTTGTGGGCTTTGGAGGTTATTCTGGAAAAAAAATTACACGTGTAATAGAGACATTTGTAGAAACTCCAAGCAATGTGAACATTTACAGAGTAAGGAATCCTTTCAACAGCCCCTTCCCTCCTTAGAGGCAACAGCTGTTACTCAGGGCTGGATCCTTCTCTCCCTGGCTGCCCAGGGAGGGCGGGGGCCAGGCGCACCGGCATCGCCCAGACAGGTTAGAAATGAATGCAGAGTCTTGGGCTCCACTTTTTAAAAAAATATATTATATTGATTTTTACAGAGAAGAAGGGAGAGGGACAGAGAGTCAGAAAACATCAATGAGAGAGAAACATCAGTCAGCTGCCTCCTGCACGCCCCCCACTGGGGATGTGCCCGCAACCAAGGTACATGCTCCTGACCAGAATCGAACCTGGGACCCTCCAGTCCTCAGGCCCACGCTCCATCCACTGAGCCAAACCGGTCAGGCCTGGTCACTGTTCTTATGTATTGATTTATATATTTGTATGTGTGCAAACACATGCTCCTGGGGTTGATTATGTGGCTTTGGTCATGGCTCTCGGGACACTAACAACAGCAGCGCTATTTGGGGGGCAGTTAGACATACAAAAGATCAGGTCCCAGCTCAGAATTACTGAATGCAGACGCAGTGGAGGTGGGCACAGCGATCAGTGTTTTAACAAGTTCCCCAGGGGTGCTGATGAACTCCGTGAGAGAGGAAGTGCGGGAACCACTGCTGAAAAGTGGGGACTCTTACCCGCTCTCCTGCCAGGCTCCCGCCCCCCATCACATCTACACCCCTTTGTCTATCAGGGAGGTACCCAGATCCAGCTCCACCAGGCATACACCAGGCGCTCCATTAATACTTTCTTCAATTAGGTATCTGGGGCTAACACAGGTTCCTCCAATTTAGGTCAGGCTGTTTTTCAGATTATACAATTTCTGGAGGCTGATGGAGGTCGTGGCATAATCTCCATAAACTCACTCGAGCAGGCTCGTGTGCATCCTTTCCTGGTGCAAACAGGTGCCGTATGGCCGCATCTCCTTTTACTTAAACCTATCTCTGGCCGCTGCTTCAACACCAACGCTGGAAAGAGACCCCATTATACAGAGGGGCAAACGGAGGCCCAGAGAGAGGGTTCAGTTTTCATGTCAGAGCTGCTGCAAGCCTGGGCAGCATTTCCTCTCTCTGATGCAGAGCCTACGATGGATTTCTTTGTAAAATAGCAAGCCAGACGCCAGCTGACTCCGGGTGTGGGCTCGGTGCCAAGCAACGGCAGTTCTCTCTTTAGAGGATAAAATTGGACTTCAGAGCGCAGAAAAGAGCTTAGTGGCTCTTTAGCCAAGTGCCATCAACTGTAGGTGTCTTGCCCGAAGGGTGTTGAGCCTTCCCGCAGGTCATGGTTTCCAGGTGACCCCTGGGGCAGTGGAGTTTGTGTCCTCCGCCCACCGGAGCCCCCCACCTTCCCCAGGGAACGAGCCTCCCGGGGCCCGGGGATGGAGGGGCCGCAGTGCCGGGCGGGGAGAGAGTGCTGTGCGTCGGCTGGGCGGGCCTCCCAGATTGTAGGGGCGGGAGGAGAGTCTGAACGCAAACTGAGTGAAAAGGGTTGGCCCGGTCGGGACCCAGAGGCACAGATCTGAACGCGGCACCAGCGGGTGTAGACTGCCGACGAGCGCTGTGAAAAGTAGTTCCACTTCTAAAAAGTCTTCCGCAAAGAGGACTTAACACAAGGCACGGACGGGGTTCGAACCCGTGATCTTCGGTTTACGAGACCGACGCCTTACCACTTGGCCACCGCGCCTGCGTTGGAATGGCGGCTCGGGGAGCGTCTATCCTGTCTTCACTCCTGTGAGCTCGCCCCGCGGGCACGAGCGCGGGCACGAGCGCGAGCCCGAACGCCAGGACGAACGCGAGCACGCCCGCCGTGGCCCCGCCCCTCGTCTGGGCCCCGCCCCCTCGCTGCTGCCGGCGGGATAAAGCGGGACTCCACGCCCGCCGCTCCCCGCGGGCTCGTGGCCGCCCACCCAGCCCGGAGGTTCCCCCCGCCAGACGTCCCTCGTCCCCCGCACGCCCGGGGCTGCGTCTCCGGAGACCCCACGGCCTGGTCCGGAGGCGTGTCTGGAACTCGGAGCAGGCGGGACGCTCGCCGGCGTCGCAGAGCCTGGGGTTCGAAACTCAGCTCCGGCAGTCTCTCCGCGACCTCGGACGACCGGCCTCGGAGCCTCAGTTTCCCCGCCAGGGCGAGCACCCCGGAGGCGGAGGTATGGTGGCAGCTCTTACTACGCCCCCTGGTCCGTCCGCCCTGCACCGAGCAGGCGCGCTGCCGTGTTGCTAATGGAATGAAAGCTTCTGAAATTGAAAGCCCAAACTCCCCTACCCCCAGGTTGCCAGTGTGGCCTGGGACCCGCAGCATCACCTGGCGGCTCGTTGGAAGCGCGCTTTCTCCCGCTCACCCGGACCTGCAGCCCAGCAACTTGGGTTCGCGCGAGGCTGAGTCCCAAGCATGTTTCTGTTTATGCTTTCAAACGTGCCCCTTTACTTTCAGCCAAATGGGATGATTTCACAGCTCTGTGCACTCTGATTTTTCATGAATTAATGTCTGATGCGTTAACATACAATGGCTTGTAGTGCATAATACAATATAATCACAATAAATCATAGCATATATTATGAAATATAATTCCATTCTATTCGTTAATGTGAATAATACAATATTGTATAGTAAATTATACATATACTAGTAGCAGTATATACTGTAATATGATATTGTGCATGAGCATGTTACCTTTATGCTCTTTGGTAGCTGCATGGTTTTCTAGTGAGTGGCTTTATCGAAATTGATTTAATCAGTTTCTGGGAGTTAGGCCTTGGGTTGTCTGCAGCTTTTTTGCTACACAGAGCATTCTGCTGCATGTGTCTTGGCCGCCTGGCACCAGTGATGCTGGTAGGGTATACGGAGACGTTAAAAACGTCCACAGCCCGCCAGGCAGGTATGTAGGCAAACAGGAAACTTAAAAATACCAGGAAGTTGTGCTCACCAAGTTGCTTTAAATGTCAAGGTTTGGGCAGTTGAGTGGGGAAGGCCCTGACATTTACCCTCAGACAGGAGCCCTGAGACACTGCACCTGGGGTGATTGAGGTCAGCATGCAAACCTCACTGCAGCTCCCTAATGAAAACGAAGAAAGACATTGAACATTTCCAGAATTAAAATATGCATTACTGAGCGCTGCTTCTGACTAGTTGATAAAATTGGTTCTATTGTCCCCTCCTTTCTCTGGTGTTCACCGAGCTGTTGAAATGATTGCGCAGAAGTGACAGGGGCTTATAAAAAGTGAAAGGAAATTAGCACACGAGAGAACATTGCATGAGTTGAACCCAGAACTGACTGGCAGGTGAAATGCGAGTCTAACAGGCGCTTTTTATCAGCTTTGTCTTCTGAGGGGATGGAGGGAGCTGAATGATAGAGGTGCAGTTGCACCTGGATGGGCAGGTGGGCTGCCGAAGGTATGCAGGGTCTGGGCGGCCCTGAGAGAGGCTCATTCTCTAACCCTCTGTGAGTCCTAAAGTAGAGAGCACAGGTGCTGGGAGCTCTGACCCTACTTATCTTACAGGGTAAGGAGCCCTGGGAGGCCACAGATCTTGGACACCTGGATGGAGGATCTCCACGTCTTGGCTCCAGCGTCTTAGAGTGATGCTTGCACCGGGTAGGTCCCTAAAAAGTATTGCCGTTTGTTGGATATTCTGGATACAAGGCTTTTGTCAGATGTATTGTGAATATTTTTCTCCTTCTCTGTGGCTTGCCTGTTTGTTTTCTTCTCACTGGTTTCTTTCAAACTGCTGAAGTTTTAAATTTTGATGAAGTCCAATTTATCACTGTTTTCCTCTTGTGCTTTTTGTGTCCTTTATGAGAAATCTCTGTTTACCTAGGTCACGAAGGTTTTCTCCTAGAATTTTGATTATTTTAGCTTTTATGTTTTGATCTGCAATCTGTTTTGAGTTAACTTTTGTGTGTGGTGTGAAGTAGGGCTTGCAGTTAAATTTTCCCCGTACGGATATCCAGCACCATTTATTGGAATGATTGTCCTCTTCTCATGGAATTGCTGTGGTACATTTGTTAAAATTCAGTTGACTGTTTACGTGTGATGTGTTCCTGGAGTTTGTGTTGGTTTCCATTGATGTGTATGCCCGTTTTTATGCCAATTGTCACATAGTCTTGATTATTGTATTTTATGGGGAATACTGAAATCAAGTATTGTAAATCTTCCAACTTTGTCCTTCTTTTATAAAATTGTTTTGCCTTTTCCAGTCCTTTGCATTTCTGTGTAATTCTTAGAATCAGCTCATCAGTTCTATAAAATGCCAGCTGGGATTTTGATTGGGATTGCACTGAATCTATAGATTGGGATTGCATTGGGAAAGTTGTTGTCTTAACTCTACTGAGTCCTCCTGTCCATTAATATTTCAGTTGTTTGTTGCTGGTGCCAATGAGTCTTGAATTATCAGTTCGTTTCTTTAGCATTTCATTATGTGAGTTTCCCGTGTTTCAGTGGGAGAGTAGCTGGAATATTCGTGGTAACTGTGTTCACCTCCCTTGGCTCTCTATCCAAGCCCCGACCCCTGTCACATGTAGGAATCGTGTGGGCCCCCCCAGGACTCTCCAAGATAAGGTGTGAAGCAAGACATGCAGCCTGTGTAACTACTGTGACAAAATTCAGAAGAAGCAAAGGTCTCTCCGCTTAGAAAGAGATTTAATGATTGTTTTAACACTCTTAACAGATCATGCCGACTGTACATAAAATGTTAAGATGAATTTTACTTAATTTTTCTGCAGAAAAATGACAGTTGTACAGAATGCCCGGTATCTCCTCAACAAGTCAATCTCAGAACCTTCAACTTTGGAAGGTGTGCTCTAATTGGTTCATTCTGGAGCCAGAATGAGATCAAATTGGCAGCTAGGAATAATGCCGTTTTTAGTTCTTTCTTTTTTCTCTTTTGTATTTTCAGATAAACTTTAAGAGGTCATCCAGATCTGAGATGCAAATTGGCAGGCAGAGTTGACGGTTATCTTAGGTATGTAAAAAGCAGTAGACAGTGACAGAGAATAAAACTGTTTCTCTTATTATTGGATCTGCATTTAGCAGAGCATTCCTATTCTCCCAGCTCTCACTTCCTCCTACCCCTCCCTCCTTTTCAAAGTGACCATATTATCGGTTTATTTTGGATTTTCCCATTTATTTTTCTTTGCTTTTCTGTTGATACATGTTTATACAAAGGGAATGTAGTGTCTTGGGTGGGATATTTCTCCCCACAAATGGTATTATATTGTACATGTTTTTTGGTGTCTTTTTAAAAAATATGTTTTTATTGATTTTTAGAGAGAAAAGAAAGGAGAAGGAGAGAGAAATAGAAACATCAGTGAGAGAGATACGTCAACACGCCTCCTGCACACCCCTTGCTGGGGAGTGAGCCCACAACCCAGACACATGCCCTGACCAGGAACTGAACCCTGACCTCCTGGTACATGGGTTGGTGCTCAACCATCGAGCCAACATCAGGCAGGCTTTTTTTTTTTTTTTTTTTTTTAACTCTACAAAGCATCGGAAGGTCCAGCCCTATGATTCCCTGTTCCTTTTAACTGCTGCGTTCTAGTCCAGTGGGTGAAGTAGCAGAATTTGTACAAAATCCCCTATTGCTGACTACCTGGGTTGTTTCTGACTTTTCTTTTTAAAAAATATTTCTGTTGATTTCAGAGAAGAAGGGAGAGGGAAGGAGAGATAAAAACAATGATGAGAGAGACTTATTGATCGGTTGCCTCCTGCATGGCCCAAACTGGGGATTAAGCCCGCAACCCAGCCGTGTGCCCTGACTGGGAATCGAACCATGACCTCCTGGTTCCTAGGTCGACACTCAACCACTGAGCCATGCCAGCTGGGCCTGACTTCGCTTTATCATGAACACAGCTGTTCTTGCATCTTTGCACGTGCCTCCCTTTGCACACACGTGAGGGTCCTTTAGCGTTAGACATCAGGATCATTGCTTTCCCAAGATAACTTTCCTGTTGTATTTTAGCAGCCTTGAGAAAGCGGTCCTGCAAATACTGGCTTGCTAGTAATTGAAGCAGCCATCAGTGTCACTGGGCAACAGGAGTGACACTTGCTCTTGCTTGAGTCTCTCCTTTTAAATTTTGTGTGGAGTTGGTTGGGGGAGGCAGCGACAATGAGCCACCCATTTAGTGCGACGGCGTGGCTCAGGTCTACCGAATGGGTAGAGACCAAACTGAACCGATTTCTTGTGTTGGTTTCAGTATTATGAGCTTGTAAGAAACAGTATGTGAATGTCCCAAATTGGTTCCTTCACCTGTTACCACTTTCTGTAAAGTGGCACCAACAACTCACACATGGATGATACACATGGTGTGTGTTTCTCAATACAGCAAAGAATCATTTCTTTTCCTGTAGACTTATTATATGATATTTCAAAAACTCAGTCTTTACTCATATTAACCAGGAAGTCATTTTGGCAGACAGAGAGATAGTGACCTTTAGCTAGGCCTTCTATTTTAAGATTATTTGTTTCATAAAGGACATGACCTAATGGGTTGCAATTATTTTTTAAACCAGTACAGAGCTTTGATGAATTAATGCTTGCTAATGGTCCCTATTCCACATACATTGTGTTCTTTCTTTTAAAATCTAGGAGTTAAAGTAGCATATACATGGTTAACGATGTTTCTCTCTCATTGATGTTTCTATCTCTCTATCCAAAATAAATAAAAACATTTAAAAAAGAAATATGTATTATAAAGTGGAAAGTGACTATTTAAAAGTGCCATTTCCCATGATCAGACACCAGTTACCATATTCCCACCATTTGGCACGGGTGGTGGTTATTCCCAGGTTTGTGCGTGGCAACATGAAAAAGATAAATGGGTGGAAGGAATGGGAGCGAATGTGCGGATGAATGGACTTACAGAGAACATACCGTCCACATTTCCCCTGTGACGTTGCTTCAGTGCCATTACATGATAAATGTACGTGTGAAATTCGGATGTAAAAGTGTTTAACACGAGATGCAACATGTTCCTTTCATAGACATCTTAGAATTTCTTATATGGAAACATGAATAAGAGTTCCAGAAACATTTTGTTGTTGTGTGCCATTTCGGGGTTCTTACAAAGCTGTCACTGTGTTTCTGGCGATGCTTTCTGCCTCTGTCGCTGCTTGTTGGGTGTCAGCAAGGTGCCCTGGAAGTGTGAATGGCTTTCTCTCACGTTCACCTCTGTGTGCTTGCCAGTTGTCACAATATATTAGTGAGCACTATTTAATCTCGTGTTATCTTAAAAATAACACAAGGGAAAATATTTAGAGGTGTACACACTACAGCCAGACCTCAGCTTATCTATAATAATAAAAGCGTAATATGGTAATTAGACCGGACGTCCTTCCAGACAAAGCCTGGGCTGCGAGGAAAGCCGGTGCCAGCAGCCGGGGGAAGGGAGGCCTACGCTTGCACGAATTTTGTGCATCGGGCCTCTAGTCTCAAATAAAAGCCACTAGTTCCATTCAGGTAAAGTGCTTCTGGAATCCAGGGTGGCTTCTTTCTTTTGAATGGGTTGTTTGATTTATTTGGTTTTTTTTTCATGCCTTTTGTAATT